GCAGGCCTAATACGTACACTGTCTATGCGCTAAGCTCCAATGTATAACTTTTGACCGCTGCATATCTCAAACAGTCATGAGAAAAGGATTGTATACTATACTATCTGAAGTATGCTGTGGAGTTCTAAAGACTAAACTATCTTCCAATTTGGGATCCATTGCCTATCAAAAGAGATTGAATAGTTTAGATGATGCCCTGTTTAGTCTATGTCCACAGTAAAAACGCATTTAATGAATGGAATACACTTGTTTTAAAACTATTTGTTGCCTTAAAATAGAACTGATGTATCAAATTGATTAGATTGTCTGCCTCGATGAATCCTAAGATAAGGCTTTTGCTAAACGAATTGGATTAATTAAGTATGGTTGATAAAATCAATAAAATTAAAAGTAACGATCGTTTTAAATAACTCAAGTGGATGCATAGAAAATTGCCTGTTCCGTCCAAAATCACAGTTATTTCGAGCATTGACAGTTACAAGGTTATAATTCGATTATGTGACCAGGATGGTGGTTCATACAGCATGTATGACAGTCAAGACAAGCCATAAAACCTCAAAGTCCGATTTTTCATGATACTTCAAACGTGTACTCTCCATTAAAATCGGAATGGTTATTGGGATAAATTCAATTATGCCTGAAAGTATGACTGTATCCACAAAGGAACGCTAATTAATTCAATCGCGATTACTATTCAGAAGTTTAATTAGAAGTTCAAAGGTCGAACATTGACACCCCTTCCCGCCATAAATATGAATTTAAAAGGGCCTGGCTTGCCTTTAAGCTCAACTCTTCCAGGATGCCTCCAAACGATAAATTGTTGCTATTTGGGCCTCAAGAACATGCTTTCAGCCTCATTGAGGGCCTGAACAGATCCAATCAAGGTCAAAGCTGTAGTACAATCGGGTTAAACAAACCTGATCGAAGGCAAAGCTAGGTGCAATTCATTTTAGTACTAGTAACCTAGTCTTAGTTCATGCATAGAGCCCAGCTATGGGGCCTTGGATCGCCAAGAAGACCTTCATTTAACAAGACGACATACCAAATGACCGACAACAATCTCGATAATTCCACGAAAGGTCAGCTGAGCTTTATTATCCTTGCTTGACTTATGTTGATCGTAAAAGTATTTCATTAGCTTTGGTATGACTTCTGTATCTGTAGCCGACTCAAACATGTATCCTTTTTGAAGCTGAAAACAAAAAAGCATAAGATATTGACTATATATGTAAAATCAGCATATATATGTATCAAAAAGTGCGAAGGTTTAGCGATATGATGCAGCAATAGTACGAGTGCTTGCTAATCATCTATCAACTTATTCCCATAATAAAAATTCATATATTTGCCCTTTTTGGAAACTTGTATGAACCCAAATGTGAATAATCGAAATAACCACGTTTGGCCTTTGTATCCCAGAGTTCACCACCAAAAGCAGATAAATAATTTCATTCAAAAGTATGCAGAATTCTTGTTACTATCAAATAAATAAAAGCAATGCAATATAAAGCCAAATTAGAGACTATGGACAGCCAAAAATCCACTAAGATATAATTAAATTAGCTAACAAACGAATTTAGTATTTCCAACTTCGTATTGTATCTTGAAAGAAAAACATTTGATATTCCAATTATGGCATATAAAGCATCCTAAGCTTTTTAGTATATAATTATTTAATGGTAAGAGCAGTGTGAGAATAAA